GAAAGAGTTAGCACTTGTACAGAAAAGAAGCAAGGGACTGGACAACGCAGGTTGCATTTAGAAGGCACTAGGGAATGTGTCATCCAGATCTAAACAGAAGCCATGGGATAGGGTGAGAAAGAACAGAGAATAGCTTGGATGACACCCAACCAGGTGGCCCATCAAGAACATCTTGCCAAGGTCAATGACTTTCATGGGATGGAGGGTCACCTTCGGATTAGAGCAAGAGACTTGGAAATGGGACTCCTTGGTACTCGTCAACCTCAAATAAAAAAAAAGTCACAAACTCTCTCTCGGCTTCATTCTCCCCTTCTTTTCAATGGGGATGATACTTATCCACCTAGGTCCAGAGGGCACTGGTTAATCCATAAAGCCCCTTGAGATCTTTCACATCTCTGTCCAGACAAAGGAGGAGATGGTTCTTTAGGAAAAGAGCATCTGTACAACCAGCACATTCCTCCCCCTCTCAGGGAAAGCTAGTCAATGGAGCGGATAAATTGGCACTGTCTAATGGAGTGAATGATTTGAAAGGTTTCAAAGAGACTAAAATAAATGGAGTCAGGAGCCAAGAAAAAAAGTCTCCTGTGAGCAGCAATGACTACCATATGGCTGAAAACCCACAGCATGCTTGGCACTGGGTTTTTAGTGGCCTCTCTCAGATGGACATGTAGAGGCACAATTCTGGATTCAACTGCAAATGAAATGACTTTGATGGAGTCATCTTTGTCCAAAGTGAGAATTTATCAGCATCACAAAACTGTTACATGATTGGACCCAACAGGAGGTGAGAAGAGGCCCCAAATTCAGTCCTCAGAGGTAAACTGGCAGAGCTGCACTGGGAGCCCAGGGCAGGAATAAGAGGGGAGGCTGCAGATCAATATTGAGGGCATTGACAGAATTGAGTGGGAAGCTAAAGCAGCCTGCCTGAAGGTCCTGATCCTTAAATAGAGCTGGCAAAGCCAGGTAAGGCATTTCTTTGATCTTTGAAGCTTAAAGTCTCAATTGAATGAGGAGCATGCTGGCATCTTTATAGCTTCCCCTGCAGGAGGATCCTGGACCTTTCTTTCCTTTAGCAGCTAAGGGCTGTAGCTCATGCATTTGGAGGAGAATCTCTCTTCGGCTGAAAGGGAGTGCAGCAATCCATCAGCACGGTGCCTCGCCTCATCTTCAAATTGAGGATTTCAGGGGAACCGGCTTAACCAGTCACCCTGGGTGGAGTGCTGCGATGAGTTGGCAGCGCACAGGTTCATTGGCATTAAGGCTCTCCGCCATCTGGAATCACGGCCATCGTTCTCACTACCACGCATATGGTCAGCATCTCCGCGTCAGTAAGGCTTGACCATTAGCTTCAAAGGGAGTCGGGCACATACTCCTCCCAAGCTCCACTAGCCTCCTGGGAGTGGCCTTTGCCCCCCTAGCTAGGAACGATCAGCAGCATGACTCACCTTCCTGCCAAATGGCCATCCTAAACCCACAGCTACAAGTATGTATAGCAGTGCTCAGCCCCTCCACAGCAGTGAATGCTCAGAGCCCCTTTTACCTTACAATCAGACTTCACAACCTTGGGTATACATTATCTGCACTTTCCCCTGGGATCCAGATATGGGACATGTCCTGTTTGCATCAGTGTCAGAGCTAGAAATGAGACCCGTGAGGATTCAAGTAACAATTGCCAAGAGGTTTTTCAGGCTTTGCAGAGGAAGAATCCAGAAGCATCTGATCTCTCTCTCTCTCCAGTTTGATGACTTTAGTTTTCCATTCCTGGGTTTTCTTTTGATCTTGCCCAAGTGAACACAGAAATTACTCCACTTGCTTCCACACTCACTCACCTCAGTGTAAATCAGGAGTAGCCTCCCAGGGAGAAGTGGAAGTAGCCTGGCATCAGGTTGGAGTAAGTGAGAACCAAACTGGGTTCCTCAAATGCCAGTGCTGAGGCATAGTTCCAGCTGGGAGGAAGACGCCCATAATCATGTCCTAGGGGCCCACAGTTCAGTTCCCTGCTCCACCAGAGATTGATTGTGTGGCCTTAGCCACGTCCCTTCACCTCTCTATCCATCCATAGGCAACAGGAATCACTGCCCTGCCCTTCCCCTGCCTCACAGGAGTGCTGTGAAGAGAGAGATGCATTGAAGGCTGGAGGCGACTCATTCTATGGCAACAGAGGCCAGAGAAGCCTCTTAGGGGAAGAGATGACCTCGTTAAGACTGAGGCACTGGGCAGGAACCTGGAGATGTGGCCCTGCTGTTCAATTCTTGTCAAGTCACTTCTCAACACAGTCTCCCTGACTATCTGATGGAGGCAATGACAGACTTTCCTTTCCCAAAGTGCTTTGCAAACCACAGAGAGAGGCTGCCTGCAGAAGCGGAGCATTATAAATGCAGGCAGGCCGTGGTGCTGCAGATGGGCCCTTGCTATGAAGGAGCCAGCGCTGTGCAATGATCTCGTATGAGCTAAAGGGGTCTGAGGCTTCCACACCTTCAGCTTAGCATGGGTTCCTAGCTCAGTGGTCCTGCTCCCTCTTGGGAAGCAGCATAGCAGTGCAGGTGAGACTCAGTATTTTCCAACGAAGCTATTGAGAGCAAAGGCCACGGTTAAACAGGAAGGGTTGGTACAGCTAGGACACACAGTGAAGGGCCTGGTCATATACTTCTCTTTGCTCATTGCTTTTTTAAGAGTCTGTTTCCTTGCTGGCTGAGAGAACATTTGGCTCAGTGCCCAACACCTGCACTGACACACTGACCCACTTACGGCTGTGAACCTTGACTGCTCACTGCAGGGATACATTAACAAGCAGCTCTTCGTGGGCCCTCCCTTCCCCCCACCAGGACTGGGTTCAGATCCCAATGGCAGCATCCTGGTGACCATCCTTCTTGAAATGCCATGCTGCAGCTCCATGCCACTAACAAGAGCATCTTCATACCAGAGAAACCCTCACCCAGCAATGCTGGCCATCCAGCCGGCTCCAAAGCCTGGCTCAAAAGGTCAGCAAAGGAACACAAAGCGAGAGACCCTGCAGAGATGAGTCAATGGTGCAAGAAAGGCCAAGAGATGGGACGCAAGGGGAATGAAAGCATCTGGACTCCTGGATTAACAGTGGAATGGCATCCTCTCAGTACAGAGCAAGGGAGGGGAGTGTGGAACTACAGAGAGAAACAAAGGTGGCGGGGGGAAATCAGGACATGAGATAGAGCAAAGATGGGGAGTAGAGGAAAGAGGTGGACGATGGGGGAGAGAGAGAGAGAATGAAATGCAAAGGGCCTCCCCCTTCACTATGCTGATCCCCGTGTCACCAACATCTGGGCAGAGCATGTGCAGGATAATGCCGCTGGTGCACAACTAGAGAATGCTGGGCTGCCAACATGTCACACCAACTCTGCGCCAGAAGTCACTTAAGTACAAGTCCCGTGAGGATCAGCCCCAATGCACACATGTGGGGAGGTGTGCTGTGAAGCTCAGGAAGGCCCTATGCTAGCAGTATAAGGACAGACTGTTCCTGGATTGTGGCTAAAAGTACTGGGAACCGACCAGTGCCATGGACAGATGGTGCAGATGTTTGAAGGAGGGAGCAGGATGACCCTGAAGCTGGATCAATGGATGTAGCAAAGAAATTCTTCTTCTCTCTGAAGACCTGCCCTTCTTGACCGGCACATGAGTTTCCCAGACATTCCTGGACTTGAAGGCTAAATAGGACCATTTTGATCATCTAGTTTGACCCGCTGTATAATACAGGCCAGAGAATTTTACCCAGAGATTCCTGCACTGGGTGCAATAACACAATCCTACCAGAACTCATTAGAGGGGATGAAGATATCTGAGGCTGGATTACAGAGCCAGCTTTCCCAGTAGACTGGACACCAGGAAAACAGACTGCCAGTGAAAGTGTCACTCATTTAATATCCCTTGAGATCTGGGTGGAGAAGGTAGAAACAACCCAGTTTAGCGCTGCCACCTCCAGTGGGATTTCCATAATGTTCCCAATGAAGCTTTGCTCCACAGCAGTGATTTTCAGTCTTTTTTCCATTTGCAGACACCTAAAAAATTTTAGATGGAGATGCAGACCCCTTTGAATTTTAAGTGTGGGTATTCAGATACTTTCTGTTGATTATAGTCATCTTTCATGAAACCCTGAGACAGTCTGTGGACCTGCAGGAGTCCACAGACCACAGGTTGGAAACCACTGCTCTACAGCAAAGGTCCTTGTTTTATTTTACTGTGGATATTCTGAGCATGACCCTAGTACTGGTGGCCCTGTGTGTTGCTCCAGTGCCCCCTGCATGGACTCTACATGCTGGCCCTTTACTAGGAAATAGTACTTGGACCAACTGCAGCTTCTCTCCTCCAAGGAACTTGGGATGTCACCTTTGCAACCCTCAGCATTTTAAAATTTTAGAGATAAGGAAAATGAAGCACACAGAGAAGCAAAATGGTCCACAGTAACTTGGTCAATGGTAAAGCCAAGAAAGACAGCCCAGGCCTCCTCCCACATCTAAAACATCTTCTGGCCTTTCTAAGTTTTGCAAGGCAAACACAAAGCAGGAGCAACTACTACCAAAACCAGAAAGTTGCCCATGGCCCCTTCTCAAACATCTCTAAAGGTTGCAAAGGAGGCCACTGATCTGCACAGTGCCCCCAGGTGATGCCCTGCTCTGCAGACATGCTCCTCTGTTTGAATCCTGCAGCTCCTGAGCAAGTGGAGATCAGCATAGGGCCCCCTCTCCTCCCTTTGCTCCTCTCTGAAGTAGAAGGCTCTATACTGGAGGGTCATCATCCTCTGTAAAAGGGAATTGCTTCTCCCCGATAAATCCTTCATGCCCCCCGCCCCCTTCCACATGCAGGTGTTGGAGAACAGCCTACAACAACAGTTGTCATGGCTGATCCT